CAGGCTCTATAAATTAACAAATCTAGCCCGCGACATACAAACTGTGGCACACGACTACATTCGGCCATGCACACGACATACCGGCTAATGGCACACACTACATCTGTCCTCACAGTCCTCTATAATATGATTGTCCTCATTTGAATACACACACACACACACACACACACACACACACACACACACACACACATATATATATATATATATATATATATATATATATATATATATATATATATATATATATAATTCCACTAGGGGTCCTTTGTCTTTAGAGACAATTTCAAATTTAGTCATAAACTATCGTTTTGCATTTAACATCCCAGACTATTATTTTTTGGACACTTTTAGTCCTTCTAATGACTTTTCCTATTTTTAGTAAGGGTATTTTTGTATTTTTGTATTTTCATATTTTTCTTTTGTTATTTTTTCCGATTTCAATCGGTTTAATTGGTTTAGAACTTTAGGTAACCTCAAAAAAAAAAAAATTTGAAGGTAAAAACTTAATTCATTAAATCACGGGAAAGACAGTTTTCAAGAAATGTAGGAGAGGCATCTAACCACTCCCCACAACCTGACTCTGAAAGGGCCTCCCTAGCAACAATGTGGGCGGCATAATTCGCAGATCGTCTAACAAAATGGAATTGAACATCGTGTATCTCAAATGCCAATTCTTTAATATCCTCAACTATAAGTCCGAACATAGAATTAAAAGGAGGGGAGGCAAGGGAATAAAAAACAGTTTGGGAGTCCATTTCCACATCAATATTGCCCATACCAGTATCTTTGAACCAACTTAGAGCTTCTCGTAAGCTGATTGCCTCGGCCTCGTTTACAGTGTAGGTGTCGGTCAACCACATATTCTTCGCAGCCAAGAACGTTCCATTATGATCTCGCAACACCCATCCCAAACCCATTGAATTGCTCGGTGTGTGTAGTGCTACGTCCGAATTCAGCTTAAGTCGCCCAGCCGCTGGCTGTGTCCACTTTTCAGCTCCAGTCTGAGGGTTCCCTGCTTGGGCCGTGTCATTTGCTTGCAGCCAATTCCGCCAGAAGGTAAGAGTTTGGCGAAGCATTATATCTGCGTCAAAAACCACCCATTGCCAAACATGTTCATTCCCACTGCACCAGATTCCCCAACAGGTCATGATAAACTTAGAGATATATTCACCATGCAAGACTTTAATGAGACCAAAAAACCATTCAGTGATGTTACCATTTGCAGCACTTACCGACTGTATGCCTAGTAAATTCTAGATACGCACAACCTCCGAACATTGAGCAAAGATGTGGCAAGCAATCTCGGGTTGACTCCTGCACATATGACATAGCAACGCACAATGAATGTTTTTAGTCTGTAGAGCATCTCTAGTTGGTAGAAACGAAGAACCCAACTGCCAGCAAAAGTGCCTAACTTTGGGCGGCACATCAATGTTCCAGATTCGGGTTCATGGTCGTTCATCGTGCACCAACTCAGTTAAATGCTTATAACACGATTTTACTGTGTACTCACCCTTCTGGTCATAGTACCAGTACCACGAATCTTGTGGTTTTCGCAGGGTAATAGGGATGTTCATAATCAGATTAGAATCCCTGGCATAAAAAATCTGCATAACACGAGCAACATCCCAACCTGTACCTTGAGCATTAAAAAGACTTGACATCGGGGCTTCATAGACTGCTTCACTTAGGGGAGTTTGGACATACGCCCATTCTGCTACCCGTAACCATGCAAACCTCCCGATTGAAATATCATTGCCGTTCCCAATACTACGCCTGCACTCGTCTCGTAGTATATTCTATACCTCTAACAGACCCCTCCAAATGAAAGACGGGTTACTCCCCAGAACTGCATAAAAAAGGAACAATTAGCATAGTATCTGGCCTTGTAGACCCTTGCCACTAGGGAACTTGGTTTGGTGATTAGTCTCCAAGCCTGCTTACCAAGGAGTGCCAAGTTCATTTCGTGTAGCTTTCGAAAGCCCATCCCACCTGCAGTTTTTGGAGTTGCTAAGCCACCGGTAACCTCTAATTTTTAGTAACCATATTTTTCAGCTGGTTTTTAGTAAAGTCCTAAACCATTTAAACCGGTTGAAACCAAAAAAATAACAAAAGAAAAATACAAAGAGACAAAAATGCCCTTACTAAAAATAAGAAAAGTCATGAGAAGACTAAAAGTGTCCCAAAAAAAAATAGTCTGGGATGTTAAATGACAAAAACGATAGTCTGGGACTAAATTTGGAATTGACACCAAAGACAAGGGACCTCTGGTGGAATTAACTCTCTCTCTCTCTCTCTCTATATATATATATATATATATATATATATATATATATATATATATATATATATATATATATATATATATATATATATATAGAATTGCACCCAGGTGTGAATGAAGCGCCCAGGAGGAAATATGCGAACGAATTAGCGCGCGACACGTGTCCAGATTTAATGAATTAAAAAAAATACGCTGACATTTTCGTAAATAATTGAACATCGAAGTGCAAGTAAAATATATTACAAGTGCATGTAAAATGTATTATAGGTGCAAGTAAAATTTACACTGAGCATCAATACTAAGTGCACCTATAGTTATAAGTAGTTGCACCTATTGTTATAAGTAGTTGCACCTAGGTGCATGAATGTTTGCGGGAAGTGAATGTTAACAAGACAAAATTACATGCACTTATAGGTGAAAGTAGGTGCACCTATAGTTATAAGTAGGCGCACCCAGGTGCATAAATGTTTGCGGGAAGTGAATGTTAACAAGGCAAAATTACATGCACTTATAGGTGAAAGGAAGTGCACTTGTAAGTGATTTTACTTGCACTTCGATGTTCAATTATTTACGAAAATGTCATCCCATTTTTTTAATCTATAAGATCTGGACACATGTCACGTGCGGATTCGTTCGCATATTCTCTCCTGAGCACTTATTCGCACCTGAGTGCATGCATATATATATATATATATATATATATATATATATATATATATATATACACTATACTATATATATATACTAATAAGAGCCCAAAAGAGTTAGGCCTATAATGGGTAGAAAAAATGACGGTCAAATTTTTTAATAAAATGAATGGCTCAGATTGATCAGATTTTAATTTTTCTTGTAGATTTCATAATTTATCCTTAATGAATATGATTATTCGTTAACTTTTCCGTTAAATATTATCTTTTCTGTTAATTTCTGTTAGTTCACCGTTAACTTACTCATTGATTTTAATAAGAAAGGTCTTAGGTTCGAACCTCATCTAAATCAAAGTTGGCATAATTAGTACTCTATTTTACTCTTATTAAATTAAATAATAATTTAGTAGCTACAACAAAAAATAATACATATGCATTTCTTTAATTTAGAATTATGTGTCTACAGTGTCTTTATTAAAAAAAATTATTCATTATCAATAAATTAAATAAGAGAAATAATTTCATTAGTTATATTGTATTTACTTTTCTCCAATATAAAAATTCTTTACATTCAAATTCATCAATTGATTATATTCGCTACATTGTCTCTACAATATATTTATTAAAAAAAAATATACATTATCAATAAATTAATTAAGAAAAATAATTTTATTAGTTATATTGTCTTTATATTTCTCCAATGTAAAAATTCTTTACATTCAAATTCATCAATTGATTATACTCACTACATTGTCTATTATCTTTTCTGTGCACTATTTTTTAATTAAATATCAAAGTTATAATACAAAATAATGCTATATATTTATTTACCAAGTATTTTATTAATACCATGAAAAAATTTAAAAAATATAATTAATAAAGCCAATCATATTAACTACTTGAGGGATTTGTTGACAAAGAGAGTATTCAAATCACACAACAAATTGATGTGAGAATTACCTCGCAATGTCCTTGTTTAACAATTAATAGTTAGCGGTTAGCGTTAGCGGATTATATTAGTGAATTTGACCAGCGAATTATATCAACGATTGGTAAAAAAAATATTTGAAAAAATTAGCTGTTTAGATTAACATTTAAATTATCTAAGTGTATAATAATAATAATAATAATAATAATAATAATAATAATAATAATTATAATAATAATAATAATAATAATAACAATAATAACAACAACAACAACAATAATAATAATAATAATAATAATAATAATTGTTTTTTAAAAAATAAAAAATAATAATTAAGCCAATCATATTAACTATTTGGGTGATTTATTGACAAAAAGAGTATTCAAATCACACAACAAATTGAAGTGAAAAACTATCTCGCAATATTCTTGTTTAGCAATTAGCAGTTAGCTCTTCAATATTAGTATATATTTAATATTTTATGCCCTAATTTTTATTTGCTCTCCCTTATGTCCAGAATTTGGTTTCAACCATATCTATACAATTATTTTATTGACAATTATAATCAATCTTGATTATATTATCTTGCATTTGTAAATTTAGAATTGTCTATTTAAATACTCAAATTTAACATTCAATTATCTATATATGAACAATTCCAATATAATCTTGCTTTGATATACTTTAAAGTACTTATTAAAAAAAAAAAACAATTGGGCATTATCCCAATCGCGCAATACGCGTAAAAAAATTAGTATTAGTATATATATAAAAGTAGAAATTCCAGTTAGGATATATAATGTGCAGATTTAATCCACGTGGATGATAAGTAAGCATTTATCGGTTGGAATAGGAACAAATGAACTTGATGATTTTTATTGATTTAGGAGAGTTAATCGGAGCTTTTTTTTTTTTTTTTTTTTTTTTTTTTTTTTTTTTACTTATAAGGCCCAATTGCTCTATTCAGTTGGTTTAGGGGCGATTTGACATTTTTTTCTCTAAAATTTAGGGTGTGCTTTTCACGGTGGAATAAAAAAATGGTAGAGTAACCGAGAAGGAGGAAAAAAGAATTCCAAGTAACAAATTTGGCGGGAGTTTGGTATCCTTAATTTTGAATCGGAAAGGACTCAGTTGGGTTTAAACCCGCCATAACCAAAGCACAGATAAAGAGAAACCCTGGAAATCAAACCCTAAAACTCAATTTTCATTAAAATCTCCCTAACTAGAAGACGTGTTTGATCTTCAATCTGATGGGAAAGGGCGATGGTAATCAGCAGTTGGTCGCGGCGAAGAGGGCGTACCAGCACGCCAAAGCGGAGGGCAACCGCCAGGAGGAGGCAAGGTGGGCGAATGTGATAGGCGACATCCTCAAGAACCGAGGAGAGTACATCAAGGCACTAAGGTGGCTTCGCATCGACTATGACATCTCTATTAAGTACTTGCCAGAGAAGCAACTGCTCCCTTCATGTCAGTCGCTCGGTGAAGTCTATCTCCGCCTTCAGGATTACGAACACGCATTGGTTTATCAGGTATATATATACTTATAATTTCATTTTAATTTGTTCTTCCATCCTTATCTCCGGAAAGTGATCCGCCGGCCTGTGTGGCTGTGTGCTTAGAGCGTAAATATGGACCAGCAGTAGTTTAGGGCCTGGATTGTTATGCGTTTAGTTATACTTTTCTCTGCTTGTATTTGTTCTTTTGGATTTGGTGTTTACTATCTTGGTTATTGAAGGGGCATCAGATTCTTAAAGTAATATTGGTTCTTGACTTCACATCAACTGTAATTGCAGCTAAATTTAATACTCCGTAGCTTTCAATTTTTCAGATGTTAAAAAGTCTTTTTTCTATATCTGTTGGCAGAAAAAACATTTAGATCTTGCTAAGGATGAAAATAATCTTATTGAACAACAAAGGGCAACTACTCAACTAGGGAGAACATACCATGAAATGTTCTTAAAGTCCGATGATGACCATTGCTCGCTGAAAAATGCTAAGAAGTATTTCAAGTTGGCAATGGAACTTGCTCAAACACTGAAGCACAGTCAGTTATCTGAAAGGTTTTCATTTCTAAAGGAGTACATTGATGCACATAATAACCTAGGAATGCTTGAAATGGATATTGATAACTTGGAGGAAGCCAAAAAATTTCTTTTGAAGGGACTAGAGATCTGTGATGAGGAAGAGTTGAGTGAGAATGATGATGGGCGAAGTAGGCTCCACCATAACCTTGGAAATGTTTACACAGAACTAAGGAAATGGGACAAAGCAAGAGAGCATATTAATAAGGATATTCTAATCTGTAACAAAATTGGACACTGCCAAGGGGAGGCTAAGGGATATATAAATCTTGGCGAGCTGCATTACAGGGTTCAAAGGTATGATGAGGCTATGACTTGTTACAGCAGGGCTCTTCAATTAGCTAAGTCAATGGAAGATGAGGATGCTCTGATTGATCAAATAAATCAAAACATGCAAACAGTAAGGGAAGCACTCAAGGTAAGGGCTGAAATGGAAAAAGAAGAACAGGTTCTAAAGAAGATAGCAAGGAAAATGGAAATGACGAGAGGGACAGATGGTGAGAGAAAGTGCTTACTGCAACAATATTCATCTCTTGATCATCTCATTGAGAAAGCCAGCATTATCTTTGCTTGGATGAAAGTATGGTTACTTTAGCATTTTATTTTCTTTATGTTTTTTTTTTTTTTTAAATAAAGTTTTTGATTTGCTTTTCAAATAAAAAAATCAGCTATGTAATGCTATAAGAAGTCTATTCAAAAAAGGATTTCCTTGCCTTCCTTACCCTTTACATGAATGAGAATTTTTTTTCCACTAAGTCATTTTTTGTTGATTCCAATACAAAATTCACACATATAAACCAAACTGAGTCTTTGTTTGCAAATGTATTTCCCCCCCTTTTTTGAGCTACTTAATGAGAAGTACCTCAATTGTTTTTTTAGTTGTTTTGTCAGATGTGTTAGGGTTGATGGTCTATGTCATCAAAATATGAAAAAGGTGTAAATCATCTAAATTATAACACTAATTTTCTACCCAAAAATGACTATTTATTTTATTGTTGACTTTTTCATTTAATTAATCTGTTAAAGTTATTTAATTAACTTGATGTTTGAATTATTGTGCTTAGTATCATGCATATGCCAAGAAAAAAAAGAAAATAGCAAGCCAGCTGTATGACACAGTGAAGTTGGGTGATTCGTTTCTTGCCATTGGAGAGTCATATCATAAGCTCCGGAAGTTTGATAAGGCTCTGAAATGGTACACAAAGAGCTTGGAAAAATACAAGTTAATTGGCAACCTGGAGGTAGCTTTGTGTTATCTGAACCTCTACACTTAATTTTTTGATGACAAATAATATGAGCTGAACTTTTGGCATTTCTGTGTAAAATTTCTAAATGAATAATAGAGGTGGGGATCCAAAAGCTCTTTCACTTCCTGAGTGTAGTTTGAACTTTAACTATATAAAGTGTGCCTCAGAATTTCAGAATATCTTAGTTATAACTGGTAGTGGTTTCAGGGACAAGCACTGGCAAAAATCAGCATTGGAAATACTTTTGATTCTAAAGGTGACTGGGCATCTGCTTTGGCTGCTTACAAAGAGGGTTATAGGCGAGTATACTTGCTTGTTTGTTTCATGTTCCAATTTGGTTGATATGCAATGTCAAGGTTTACATCCTTAGGGCATCTCCATCAGTAGATTTTTAGGAGTTTTTTTGTGGGACATAGACATAGGTGGAGGTGAGAGAAATAGGAGAGAGAAGATTTGGGGTCTTTGATGAGTGATAAGTTTTTTGTGGGGCCCGCAAAAAAAAAACTTCCAGTTGTGCCCCCAGTGGGCATGTATACTTTTTTTGTCAGTTGCCCCCCGCCCCCTTCTCCCTCTTCACTCTCCTTCCTATTTTGCTCTGAAAAAACCCTCCCAAAAACTATACTGATGTGGATGCTCTAGGTGTAGCTGTTCAATAACTCCACATTTAAGACAGTTACTGCTGAAATTATTCTAATCAAGCTGTGATGTATTTACTTTCTAGTTTACTACTTTATGTACAAGATCCTCTTAACACTTGGCTCTCTGCTCATAACATTACCCTTTTTTTTTTTTTTTTTTTTTTTGTTCCAGTATTTCTGTTAAAGCAAACAAGCCTACTACTCAGTTGGCTGCTCTAGAAAACATGCACTATAGCCAAATGATCAGATTTGATAATGTTGAAGAAGCCAGGTTCAGATTAGCTATATGAATTCTTTTTATGCATTCTGCTCTCATTAACAATAGCTCTAACATTTCTTTCATTAGCATGTCTTTCTTAACAATATTAAGCATTCAATGCTTGTTTTTTTCCCTGATATTTCATGTTAGCCATTCTTGTAGTCATAATTCAGTTATTTGCATTCTTCAAACAAATATGGAGTTGTCTACGACTCTACATTATGATAAAGATGTTCACATGCAGGAGGCTACAGTTGTCAATTGACAAATTAAAGCAGTCACAAAGCAAAGATCTTGGAGTGCCAGATCTTGCAGGGGACTTGTGTTCTGAAACTGAAACCGAGGCTGACCAGTCACCTGATGGTGAGTCAGATATGAGTTTTTCACCAACAAAAAGTGAATTTGGTGATAAAAAATCAGAATTTCATGCCACTGCTGATCATTCATGTGAATATTTACCCTTGACATCATTGCTTGATCCTAATAAAAAGCTTGCTAAGCTGAAAACTACTAGTGTAGCCCGTACCAAGCCACCTGAATGTTCACCTAGAAGCTTATCCAAATCAAGTAGTAGTCAGACTGAGACAATCAGTCGTAAACGTACCCGCATTATTCTTTCTGATGATGAAGATGAAAATGATGAGGTTCGTTGCTCTGGAGGGATTGTCAATCGAGGTGCTGAAGATAATCAGGCTTTTTCCTCCCATGATATGTTCCACAAGTTTGCTGTTGAAGATGTTGCAACATCAGATGATTGTAAGTTGGTCGCCATCTTTTTTGTTGGCCTGCTTGTATCACTTCAATGGAACATTGACACAATATTTTGGTATTATGCAGTTAAAATTGGGAAAAAGCAGTGTAATCACACTCATGAGGTCCAAGTGGTAACATACTTAACCATAATTTGTAGGCATTATTTACTTGTACTAGTGGCTACTGAGCATTGCTTTTTCTCTTCTCTCTCTCTACCTCTCCTGTGTCAGGATGCCTCACCAGTAGCCTCAAAATGTAAAATCAGTGCTTGTACAGCTATCAACTTTGAAGAAAGCACCTGTTCTGAAAAATCCAGAACTTCAAGATTAGATCCAAAGGATAAAAAAGATATCAGATTTTCAAGTCCACACAGAGCTGTTGAAAATTCCAATTTTAGTGCCAATGGCAACATACTACATGCTAGTAATGTTTGTGGTGATGAGCATTGTGTAAGTGCAATTAAAAAATGCCAACAATTGCTTTCCATGATCTTTATCTAAATCAACTTGCACAATTATTGAAATTACATGAGCATTGAAATATATGTGGTTTGGTTTCACTTTGCATTTATGTGGTCCAGGCCCTTGCATGGTCTCTTCTTGATATATATATATATATATATATATATATATATATATATATATATATATATATATATATATATATATATATATATATATATATATATATATATATGGACCTAATTATCATGTTTCTGAAACATTGTATCTGTGGTAAACTGACTATGTTATGCATATGTGGTGCAGAAATTCATTAGAGATGTTATCCCATTATATATGCCACATCAGGATTTATTTTGTAAAGAAATGAAATTTACACTTTCCATTTGTTGTCATGTTACTGTAATTAAAGGATTTTCATTTCAAGGTCCAGTAAATCCTACAAGTTTGTCAAATTATTTGTAAAAAGGCTCTATAAATTCATGCTTTGTTTACTTGAAGAATTTAACTAATTCAATTGCTGCCTCAGATATTTACTAAATTTTCCTTGATTTGCTAACCTAATTGCAGAAGCATATTATTGTTAAAATTGGTGAAGACTATATCCATATAGAACAAGACTCGTGTATTGTTGGCTCTGATCTCAGCATAGAACAGATGAAGATTGAAGTGGCATGTATGTACTACTTACAACTGCCTGCTGAGAAGAGATCAAAAGGTAGGCCATAAGTTCCCAGTTATGGAATCAGTTAAGTTTGTTTATTTCCTATTCTAGGTATTGACAAATGAATATTGTGTCCTAACTATATCTACATTAGTGCTGATTTGACAATTCCAATTACAGCCTTGTAGGTAGTACAATAGTTACCCTTTCTAATAAAATGCAAAGTGATTCTTTTCAACTGTCTAGGCATCTTAGTTTATGCATCTGTTCTATGTTGCATAGAGTTATTTAACTGTTTGTTATGTCGGAAAATGCTGTTACTTATCGGAAAAGAAAAAAAATGCTGTGAAGTTTTGAACCTGCCTTCATCCACTTCTAAAAGAGAAATGAAGCTAGTTTATGTTGTATTTTAAAAAAAAGCAATAAAAAGAGGAAATAGCAATACAAGTGCATCCTCCCTCATAGTCTCACTCCATTATAATTCACTGAAGTTTATCATTAAACATTGAAAAGCTTAATTACTACTAATCCACATTGAATTGCCTCATCAGGCCTAGTTCCAGTTATTCAACATGTGAAATATGAAGGGAGGGTTCTGGAATCCTTTGAGGCAATTGATATTCTAGATGATCACATCAACAGAAAAAGCTGCATTGAAGTTTCACTTGGTGGTAATAATCTTTCTCATCCTCATCAATCTTTTTATTTCCTTTTCCTTTCTAATATTTTCTGTCATTATCTGTCTTTAATTATTTAACCATCCTAATTGATAATTTTGGCAACTTAGTGCCTTGTGTGAATTTTTTGACTATTACTCCGTAATTTTTAGCAATCAATCAATATTAATCTGAAAAAGGGTCTATAAGGATGCTAAAGAAAATTATGTTGAAAATGCATTGTTTGGAAGTCTTGAAATGTGAAGGTAAGATAACTATTATGCAGTATCTACATGTATTCCTGCACTAGCATTGAATTAATAGGCAGAGTATGCTTAGTTGCCTTGTAGAAGCCCAAGCGGCCAAGCCTGAGGAAGATTACCTTTTTCTGTTCCACTTGATATTTCCATCTGATAATCCTTTTTTCCTTTTGAGATGACATTAAAGCTGTTAAACAATGAACTGAACTTGTATATTTCTATATGTTCTGTGTAGATGTACAAGGAAGTGTAGAGCTATTTATACAAGACAAGAGCTAAACCTAGCCATAGATTTCAAACACTTAAACCTAAGGCTAAGATAGATGCTCTCAACTAACACCCTATTCCTCTAATACTCCCCCTCAAGTTGGAGCATCCAACTTGTTACATATGTATCACATGAACCATAGGACTCCACACACCTAGACTCATAACTTCCAAGGCTAACGCCCAAGTCTTGAACCACTCGAACAACCTTCGAACCACGTTGTGCACTTGTGCCAAACCAGTCCACAACGCACCTTGTCGCACCAACAGCGCTTCTACGGAGCCAACAAAAGCTAGGCCAATCACCACAACGCCGCACTTGCCTCTCACACCCCACACCCTTATCACCGTTGCCTAACACCACAGCGTACCTGCCTCTCACTCCACAAACCATTAGCGCTGCTAGACCACAGTGCACCTGTCCCTCTCACCATGCACCCTTATCAAGGCTGCCTAACACCACAGCGTTTCCCTGGTGCATGCACGTAAACCGATTCACTCTGAATCATTCTTCAGCCGTCGGCCTCCCTCGCGACATATGCCAGGTCCGCCCCACTCCTGGCACCTGTGCTGCCCACTCTTGTAGCACCCCTGTTTATGCACACTGAACAAGCTGCACTTGACTCAACTCAGACCCTAGAATTGCTCCCGCACCAAATTAACTTAAAGCGACAAACTACGATAAACCAAACGCAAAGCTCAAGACTTATTAATACGATAAACAAAAGAATCTACTGCCTAACCACACATTATGCTTCCAATCAATTTCTAGAAGCATTCATCAACTAGACCTCCATGCCATTTTATTTGTAGCCATGAGACCACCCAGCTTCGTGGACCTCAGATCACCCAGCTCTCTCTCGGCTGTCTCTCTCTCGCTGGTTTCCCTCCATCTCTCTCGACCAACATTGCGACCACACTTCCTTCCTTCTGGAATGAGCGGATTACATCTGCTTTTCTTGCTGGCATCACTTCTGCTCTAACATCATGAATACCAACCTCTTTCGCAACAACTCGAGCTGTTCTCCAGTTATCGCCAGTGACCATGACAGGATTGACGCCCATTTTCATGAGGCCTTCCACTACAACAGCAGCAGTACCCCCCTGACGCGCAGCTCCCTCCGGTGACCTCTGTTCCTTCCCGGCGAGCACGATAGATCTTGGAAGCTTCTCTCCGGCAACCTCTGCTGCCTGTGTTGCTTGACGAAATGGGCTCACCAAAACGACCTCACGCGCCTCCACCACCACCCCAGAACTCTTGGGCTCAGAGTGACGAGCCCGCCGGTACCAGCCTCGATCGGAGAAGGTGCCGGAACAGTGTGCACGCGCCGGCGCGTGGCGTCGGAACCCTAGGATTGCGACGGCGCGTGGCGGTGCGTGAGGACTCCGGTGGCTGCTCCGCCTCTCCCGGCGGCGTTGCCTCCCCTTTCCGATCAACGCCCACTACCCCGTCATCTCAATCTCGCTCTGATACCATGTTAAACAATGAATTGAACTCGTATATTTCTATATGTTTTGTGTAGATGTACAAGAAAGTGTAGAACTATTTATACAAGACAAGAGCTAATCCTAGCCATAGATTTCAAACACCTAAACCTAAGGCTAAGAGAGATGCTCTCAACTAACACCCTATTCCTCTAACACCATTACATGAGCCTTATATGTTATATTATAAACAGGTAGATGATAGTTCTGAATCTAATTTATAGCAAAACACATTGATCATTGATGAAAGTGAGGCCTAAATCAATCTATTTTAGGCAGCTAATCAATGTAGCATACCTATGAAGCGAAGAAATGTGGGCTGGTTTTGACTTTTCAGTTGAGGATGGTAGTTTCATTTTACACACAAATATCTGCTCATTTTTGCATATTCTATGATTGTTTTCTGCAAAGATGCTTCATATTCTCATAGGGGTCTAACTGTATTATGAGCAGCTTGGGTACCTAAGCCTTTGGTGGAACTTTATACTGATTGCTGTAAGGAGTTATCTGAGTCACCCAACATGAAAGTTCTCAAGAAATTGTATAATCAAGAGGTGAGTGAATTTGTGTATATTATTGTATATCAATAAAAGAAGTAATCTTTTGACGAACTTTCAATTATGTGATGCAAGAAACTTGCTTGGAGAAACTATGTTCTAATTGCATTTTTGGTGTTCCTCTTTTATCAGGTGTCAGAGGATGAGATAGGTGTATCTGGCTGTGAATTGCAAGATATATCAGTGGCGCCGTTAGTGAATGCTTTAAATAAGCACCAGACAGTTGCTTCTTTAGACCTTTCGCACAATTTGTTAGGTAATGAGTAGTGATAATTAATAATTGCTCTCGTTTGACATTAGAGCAAGATATATCCCTTCTTTTGCTCTTAAGGTTTAGTTAGATTATCTAAAAATTTTATATACCAAAAAAAAAACAATCATCTTTTTCATTTGGTCAAATGTTTGTATCAATTTTATAGGCAATGGAACAATGGAGAAGCTTAAAAAAGTATTTACCTCATCACATCAAAGTTATGGTGGTCTGGCCTTGGATTTGCATTGCAATCGATTTGGTCCAACTGCTTTATTTCAGGTTTGAACTCCTTGTTTGTCTTTTATATTAATGAATTGTTCAATATTTCAATTAAGGTGTCACTTTGAATCCGAGGACTGGATTTGTCACAAGGAAGTCAGGTGCATTGGAAAATGTTTGAAAATGAAGGGCAGTAATTATTTGTGTTCATGATTGTTAGAATACATGGGGAAGGAATATAGTAACTTAACTCTGCAAGAGAAAGGCTGAAAGGGAGAGAAGTGGTAGCATACTGTAGGATGTTGTACTGTGGACAAGTGTTAGATCCTTAGGATTTGCTGTTGACTTCACCTTTGTGCTGAGAGGGTGTGGAGTTGGCCTGAGATTCATCTACAGGGTGCTGAAACTGTGGCACAACCAGTGTGAACCGAGGCATGTGCTGGGCATGCAATGTTGGAGCAGTTTCTGAGCATGCACATTGCACACCCTAGGTGGTTCTGGGCATGTCTGCAGCATGCCTAGGTAGTTGGTGTGCTTTTTTGGGTTTTCTGTTGACTTCACCTTTTTGATTGAGTTGGTTTTTGATCTTGATGGTTGTGTCTAGATCATGCCTAAGTGTTTGGTTCTCACTTTCGTAAGTTGCCAAGCAGTTAGGGTTTGTCCACTGTTCACTTGTATTTAAAGTGCCATTGTGCCTTGTGTGAGGGTGAGGCTGGTTTTCCTGTGTTTTATTCAATTGTGTAGCTTAGGCTAGTAGATCTTTTTGCTCTCTACATTTGCAACATAACACTGTTGGGATGCCATTGTGCGGGTGGTCTGTTTTAATCTAAACCGAGTGAAAATCTAGTAAGGGTGATTACCTATGGTAGGCTGCACAATCAGGTTTTTTAGAGTCTGAAGGTAATTTCCTGTGTCAACTTAGGCTGTGTTTGGTTCATGGGTTTTTACACAAGGAATTGGAATAAAAGTCATACATATTGTTTGGTTGACAACTTTTAAAAACACAGGTATAGGATTTGAATACCCCATTAATTAAAAAAACACATTACCTAATTACCTAATTAAGGGTGTGTTTGGTTGACAGGTTTAGCTCTAAGGAATGGGTATCAAAGTGATTGGTATTGTTTGGTTGATAGGTTTTTAGAACATTACTATGGGTTTCAAATATCCCCTTAATTGAAAAACCCATACCCAAATAAAATAAGGGTATCATCCCCTTTCATTCCCTTATTCCTTCTCATCCCCTTTGATTAGTGCTTTTAGATTTTTGTTTTTATTTTTATTTTTTTGTTCATATTGGTGTTTTGGATATCTTTATATTTAGAATCAATTGTCTTGATTTTTTGTTCTTGTATTTTTAAAACCTTTATTCCTATTATTGGGTCATACATAACTAAACAGCATTATTGATAATCATCTCATTCCACCCTACTACCAAACATGCAAAATACTTTCACTAAAACCCATTACCATTACCAAGTATTTGATACCCATTCCGATTCCGATTCCCATGTGCGAACCAAACACACCCTAAGGTATCATTCCCATTATCCAATCTTATCCCCTCCTCACTTCATTGCCGCCGCCTCACTCCCGTGTGTTTTTACCACAATGCTTTGGATTTTTTCTGTGTTTTTTATGTTAGAATATTAGGATCAATTGCCTTGATTTGTTTTTTTTTTTTTTTTTTTTTTTTTGTTTTTTTTTTGTTTTTTTTTTTAAATTTTATTTTAAAACCCTTTATTCCACTTATAGGATTATATATATTATACATATCCAACCAATAATATTGGTAATGATTCCAATTCCAGTCTACTACTAAGCATGCAAAATACCTTTACCAAAACCCATTCCAATTATCAAGTATTTGATTCCCATTCCCATGTTCGAACCAAATGCCCCCTTAGTATGGTGGGGTAATTCAGGGAATATGGGGATTGTATAGCTACTGTAGTTAGGCAAGTTTTAAGCATGGTTCTCTTTCATTTCAGTGAAAGTTTTCAGTACCTGAGAGGGTGGGTTAAAGAAATTTTTTTTTGTAATTTTGGTATTAAGGGCAGCACTGGCTTCCTTATCACTTTTAAGTGGTGCTTTGTCCATGTGTTAGTGTGTGACAATGTTAGTACAGTGTTGTCATCTAAGATGTGAGTAGACTGCAACTTCAGGGAACATCAAGTTGCTATGCCTTGGAGGAACTGATTTGTTTGATTTCCAGGATGCCCCAATTCCTTGCTAAATTATAACCATTTTGTTCTCTTAATCTCCAGATATGCGAGTGTCATGTACTCTATAGTCGGCTGGAAGTGCTTAATATCTCCAGGAATCGTTTGACTGATGCATGTGCATGTTACCTTTCAACCATCTTGCAAAAGTGCAAAGGTTTAAAAGTCTCTCTCCTTGCATTTGAAAGTTAAAACAGTCTGAAATTGAAGAGAATTTATTATTTATATTTTGTTGGTGTGATTGATACTCTGCTTCACACTTGTGTTTTATCCAAATGCTGAATTGAGTACTGAGTGAGAATAAATATTTGTGTTTAGATATCTATGAGTCTTACATTTTTTTTCCCTTTAGCTCTTTATAGTTTAAACATAGAACAATGTTCCATCACATCAAGAACAGTTCAAAAGGTTGCTGATTCACTGGATTCAGGATCTGCACTCACGCATCTTTATTTAGGTACCTGCGATTAGCTAAAGTTTTTTTTTTTTTTTTTTTTTTTTTTTTTTTTTTTTTTCATTAAATTTTTTAATCTAAACAAATTTCTCTTTCAATTTATTGCTGTTTATTGCATGTGATATTCTTTTAATTTTCAAGTGAACAGGATACAACCATCCAGTGTCTGGAAATGCGATGATTAATGTCTTGGCTAAGCTTGCTAATTTGAACAAGTAATATTTTAAAAAAATCTATTGATTAATTGAGTCCCATTTTAATGCATGTAAAGGGCTAATTATTGCTATTGACATGTGGAAATTTTTATTCTGCTTATTTGTAGTTTTCAAGAACTTAATTTGAGTGGAGTAAAGTTGAGCAAACCTGTGGTGGATAAGCTCTGTGAGCTTGTTAAGAATACTAGCTTGTCAGACTTGATACTTGGAAGTACAAATATTGGAAATGTGAGTGAATTAACTACTTTGTTGTGCCATTGTGTGGAAAAGTACCTTCTTCAACAAGTGACCCTGGATTGTTTGCAATTTCTTTTTACTCTGCTACAACTATAATTGTTTCTGCAGGATGGGGCACTCAAGATTCTTGAATCATTCTCGGAGAAGACTCGAGAAACAGGGAAACTTGACCTCTCATCTTGTGGATTAACTTCTGTCTACATTGCAAGATTCAATATTGAAGTTTCTCTCATAAGTTATATTCTTGAGCTGAATCTTGGAGGAAATCCCTTAATGGAAGAGGTAACATTTTACCCTCTTTTTGTATATTGGCCTTTGTGTTAGCCAATAACCATTCTCTGAGAATGAGAACTTCTATGGTCTTCTCAGATGGTGGCTTTGAAGTAAAAGTGAATTGCATGCATATCAGTGCACGCACTGGATAACAGTTATTTGTGTTCAACATTCTTCTGTGATAATTGACACTAAAAGTGATTTTACAAATATTTTAATCATTTGGTATTAGAAATTTTATTTAGGTACATTAAGGTGTAATGTTAGAGTTAAGCACAATGTGTACAAAACACATTTTCATAAAGGTGTCACATTATAAGCACATTGAGCATGCCAATTTCATCTATATCAATGTATGTATTCTGTGAGAAATTGGGATTTAAAGTTGTTAATTGCTCTGTTTTTATGGTTGAAAATCTAAGAGACTCCTGCATACAGGGTGGTAATGAATTGGCATCATTGCTTAGCAATCCTCAATGCTGCTTAAGAGTTTTGATACTGTGCAAATGCCAACTTGGGCTTGTTAACATACTCAGGATACTTAAAGGGCTATCAGAAAACTGCCATTTGGAAGAGCTCAATCTTGCTGAAAATGCACATTTTGGTGAAATCCATACATATCCCAATCGCTTGAAATCACAATCTGAGCCACCTATACATCACATGGTCGAAGCTTCTGAGAAAGAGATATGCACAATGAACATGGATTATAGTCAGCTTGAAGTTGCTGACAGTGAAGATGAGGGTGGTGCTGCTACCTCTGCTCCAATTTACAAGCGCACCGGGACAACTACTCAGGATCCTTCGAACTCAGAGTGGGAGTTGATTGAAGAGCTTTCGACGGCTATCAAAATGGCAAAACATCTGCAACAGTTGGATCTTAGTAGTAATGGTTTTGGTCAAGAAGCTGGACAAAGGTTATATGGTGCATGGACATTGCAGTCAAGATGTGGTATAGCTCAGAAGCACATTGAGGGGAATGTAATCCATTTGTCAGTCCAGGGAACCAAATGTTGCGGCACAAAGCCATGCTGCCAAAGGGTATAAGTTTAGTTACATCTAAGTATCTAACATGCGACATCTGTTGTTAAGAGAACAAAACTATTAGTACATAAAAATAAAGGTTTGAAGGCAGAGCCCGGAAATATCAACTCCAGCTTTGTATTTAAGATTGAATTAAAAGTCTATAAATATAATGTTTATTAAATTTGAATTAAATATTTAGTATTGAAAAATGTTATATGTACCTATAACTCGTTTGATTAGCATTTATAAAATTGTACTCCGTATATGTGATTTGATATGCATTATCATAGGTCTGTGCATAACCCGTTCCATCCGAGAAATCTGTTTGACCCGAACATAGAATCGCCACACGGATGGGGTATTCGACCTGAGTTTGGAAATTTGAACCGCTTCGCCTATTATCTTGACTTGAATTAGTTCGGATAGGGTATGTATAATGACGTCGTTTGAGATATGTATATATATTATACGAAGGCTAGAGTTTCTCATTTGCAGTCTTTGCACAGTAGCTCCTTTCTCCCCTCGTTTCTCTCCTTCTCTATAAGACTTTGAGTTCTCTCTACTCTTCGTCTCTTCCTCTAATCCTCTATGAGTTTTCGACTTCTCACTTCGAGAGTTCTCTCTACTCTCTAGTTTGTAACTCTATATACACTCTGTCCCTCCCGTAGTCCCCTTCGAGTCTTCGACGTCGTTGTTGCTGTTGTGGTCTCTGGTTTGGTGGAAGCCCTGCCTCGCAAAGACGTCGTTGTTGGTTGTTGCAGTTCTGAACTGTTGTTATTCACCAATAGAAGCCCGAAGCCAAGTGAGGTGTTATCTTGTTGATATTTGAAGCCCTAGCTCTTAGAGGGAAAATTTGAGAAAACAAGTAAATCTGATTCTTTTTTTTTTTTGATATGTTCGTGCTGTTAGTCTATTCTATCAGGGTTCCTGATGTATTGATTCTATTATAGTATTATGCAAAATTTGTGAAATGTCTATGATGTTGCATGAACCATAATTTGTAAATGAACCCTAATTTTTGGCGCTTTTCATATGCGTGATGAATTTTTATAAATTTTGATATATGTTTGTAAGTTTATGGTTAGAGGACCCTGAAATATGATTGTAAGTTGTAAATGTATGGTAGAAGCCTACTGAGAGTACTGACTGTGTGTTTATGTATGTTGATTGTTGACGGTTGAGTCCCAATTTTTAGGCATTTCCATATGAATGATGATTTCTGGTGTTAAATAATATGGTGGAAGCTGTGACACCTCAAAAATCCAAATTCGATTCATGGATTAATTGAGTAATTAATCGTATTTCAATTGAGGAATTAATTCCTAAAATCCTGAAATTTAATACTTGAGGACTAGTATTTGACTAGTCAACTCCAAAGCCAAGTTGTACCTTGAGCTTTGAAGGGAGTTCCCTTGTTCCTTACACTTTCTAATGTTAATAAGGACATTCTTGACCTTTCACCTAGTGTTAGTATTGTAACTTAACCTAGTTAGACATCTTCATTCTACCCCTTACACTTTCTAAAATTTAGCTCTACCTTCTCTCTAGAAAGGTGAGTAGCTTTTCCTCCAAGCTAAGTTGAGACCTTGCCAAGACTTCAAGAGTTGCTTCCAAGATTCAACCTTTCACCTATTTGGCATCTAGGAGGGTAAGATCTAAGTCTATCTTGTGTTTTTGGTTCCATCTTAGGTGTTTTTTTCTTAAAGGTAGGATCTTTATGATCTTTTGGTTTGTTCTTGAAGTGGGTTTGGAAAGTGAGCCTTGTGAGGAGCTTGTTGAGGTGTAAAGTGAAGTCTTTTAGTCTACAAGAGGTAACCCATGCTCTACAAAATCTATTTTGCTTACCTATATGTGATTTCTTGGATTCTACTTGTGTTTTGCTATGAAATGTGAGTGTTTATGCATTTTGTGAAAATGCATATCTAGAGCTTGTGTTTAGGGTTCTTTTGTGCCATTGCTTGGCATTTCCTATGATTCAAGTCATTTTGTTGTATTGGGTGAGATTTGGCATGTTTTGGACTTGAATTTGTGTTTGGAGATGAAAATCCCCGAAGGGATTTGTTGTGGTACAGGGCTGTACCCGTGGGCGGAACGGCGGGTAGGCGTCCAACCCGTCGCCCACCCGCGGGGTACAAATCTCGGGCATCCTATACCCGCGGGCGGAACCGCGGGTAGAGGCCTACCCGCGGGTACGTGTGTGGTGATGTTTGGGGATTTGTTCCCCGTGATTCTTTTGACTCGGTATTGGTCTTTTGACTTCCCGTTCTTTTGTGGAACTATTTGAGTGTCTTCTTGATGTTTCGTATGTCTAGAACTATATGGTTGGTATCCATGTAGGACTTTGGTGTCTTGAATCGTGCTAAGTGTTCAACATTTTGTTTCGTTGAACCGTGATGTGTCTTGAGTGTTCCTCGGAACTACCTTTGGTTTATCCGTTTGATGAGCATGCTAGTTCGGTGTCTACACGCTAGCGTGTGTGTTGTTTGTACCTTCCGATTGGTTGATGATAACTTGTGTTATGCATCGTTGTTGTTGCCGGGCTGTGACCCACTCCTTGATTGAGTATGTTTCATATCTTCGTTGTGATCCGTTGATTGATTCTTGTTGAGGTGTGATGGGTGTGTGGCTGTACCTGGATTGCACGATTTCGGTTTATGGGGCCTTAATCACCAAGGTACGGCAGCGGTCCTCGTGGTGGCCGTGACGTGATTATGGAGTTGTGACCTTTGTGTAAGGTTCACGTGATTCTTGGGTGGCATGTGTTGCCGTGTGTGTGATCGGTACCCTCGTGTACTATGAAATCGGTGGTTCTGTTGGAGATCTGTTGGAGAGGGGACGACGGTCCTCGGAGGAATAAGGTTGGACTTGGTGTACAGGGGTCCTGGAGGTAAATGTTGGAACTAGATATAAGGTTGGGGGTAGCCATAAGGTTGGAACAGAGCATAAGGAAGGCATATCAACTCGTGATGAGTGATGTCACGAGGGCTTGTGTAGCCGTTGTTGTGTGTTCTCTTCTTGTGACATGTGTAGTCACAAAGGCATGTGTTGCCATTGGTCGTGTCTTTATCCTTTGAGTTGTTGTTGTCCTTTGTGGTCTTGGGATGTGTTCCCGTGTTATTGTTGAGAGTGTTACGTCTTATGATGGTTATTCCTCTTGGTTTTACACTTATATATATATATATATATATATATATATATATATATATATATATATATATATATATATATATTCCGTTTCGAAAATGGCTTTACAACTTATACCTTATCTATGTATGTTATTTCACAAGTATTGGTGGGTTACCAGCATTATTCGCTGACCGGGCGTCGTCCCATGTTTATTTGTGTTCTTACAGGTGATGTCTAGACGAGAGCGGAGTCTAGTGCCCGATAATATAGTGTCTTTCCTTTGCTTTACGGCCTGTGAGCCGATGTAGTGATAGACTCGTGAGGTTTTGGGATAGTTGTGAACCATGCAGACTTTGCCGTAGCGTTTATCGTTGTTGGTAAACGTGGCGTGACACCCCATGACTGGGATTTACTTTTATCCAGTTATCTTTTAATCTTCCGTTGTGCTAGTGTTTTGTTGTGGGGGGTGTCACAGAAGCCCTATTGTGTGTGTATGTAATATGTTGACTGTTGAGCCCTAATTTTTGAGCATTTCCATTAAGATGGTGAATTCTGTAAATACATGAATTCCTGATTATGGAAGTAAATGTGTATGTGTATGTGTATGTAATATGTTATATGTTGACTGTTGAGCCCTAATTTTTTTGCACTTGCATTAAGATGATGAATTCAGTAAAATACATGAATTCCTGATTATGGAAGTAAATGTAATGTGTATGTGGAGGAAGCCTTTTATTGTTATACTGTAATTTGTAGTCTATAACTTTGATGTCCATCCTTATAGATGGAAAGCAATCAAAGCATCAGTGGAACTGGACATCTTCCATCCTCAACAGTAGATGAACAAGGAATACAGACCCCAGGCATTGAGACAGATACTCAATAGCCTAAGGTCACTCCTACTGTTCCTGCTGCTAAGAAGAGGAAGGAGATTGAGTCTAGATCCAACGTCCGGGTTCACTTTGAAAAGATCCTAGATTCTAAGGGGAAAGTGATGAAAGGAAAGTGTCCATATTGTGCAAATGTGTTTGCATGTGAGTTGAAAAAACATGGCACATCATCTTTGAGAAATCATATGTTGCGCTACCTTAAAAATCCCCATTCAAAGGATACAAGGCAGTCCCAACTCACATTCAATACTGTTTCTAACCCTGGAAATGGAACATAGGGTTCTGAGGGGGGGGGGTTTTGGGGACATGGGTCTTTAATCAAGAGGCCATTAGGAGGGCCTTGAGTGGGATGATAATTATAGATGAGCTCCCTTTTAGGTTTGTTGAGGGCCAGGGGTTCAAGAGGTTTATTTTTGTTGATTGTCCTAGGTTTCAGATCTCTTCAAGGTTGACAATTTCTAGAGACATTTACCAAATATTCCTAGATGAGAGGCTGGACCTTAAAAATTTGTTTAGGGTGGGCACCTAAAGGGTTAGTTTAACTGATACATGGATTTCTGTCCAAAGGATTAATTATATGTGCATTACTGCACATTTTTATTAATGACTAGTGGAAGCTTCAGAAAAAAAATAAAAATTCTTTGTCCCTGTTTCTTCTCATAAGGGGGAGTATATTGCAAAAGCCCTAGAGAGTTGTTTACTAGAGTGGAGATTAAAAATGTGTTTACTATTACAGTGGACAATGCTTTTTCTAATGATACGACTTTGGGATTTTTTAAGAGCAAACTGTTATCTTGGGGTACATCTTCTGTTAGGGTGCAGTACATGCACATGAGGTGCATAACCCATATCCATAACTTAGTGGTGCAAGATGGTTTGAGGTTTGTAGATACTTTAGTGAAAAAGGTTAGGGATGCACTGAGATGGGTTAGGAGTTCACTTGCTAGATTGAAAAAGTTTAGAGATCTTGATGATCTCATTAGGGTGGAAGCTAAATCAGCTTTACAATTTGATGTCCCAACAAGATGGAAGATCACCTACATTATGCTTAACACTGCAATTCAATATCAAAGGGTGTTTGAAGCATATGAGGAAAATGATCTATCTTTTTCTGCTAACTTGGGTGACTCTGTTCCTTGTTTTCTGGATTAGTGTT